CCGGCCGGCGAACGGGACGTCAGAGGCCGCTATGTCTGGAACGACAAAACCGTCAAGGACTGGAGCAAATGTTGAGGCGCCTTTGTCCGGCGTGTTTGTTGCTCACCGTTCCGCGTTCACCGATCGATTTTTAAAACACATAGTAGGTACCTGCTTAAACTATACACATTTATTGTTATGTAATACATACATTCCATGTACTAATATTATATTAATATACTGTGTAATTCCTTTTAAAGGTAACACTAAATAATTCTGTCCAGTGACATCGGATTAATATGCGGTTTTCGGGAGGGGATAGGGAATACATAAATACACATTTCTTGATGATTTTTTACATTTTTAGATCTTTCCGTGTGCGTAGCTCTAAAATCAAAATTGACTAAATGGCAACGAGTCAAAGTTTCGATTAAAATTATTGAATTTTTCAACAATCATACTAGAGTTTTATGAATTATTATGAAATTTTTAAGTACTTTTTTTGTATCCGTCGGTTTGCAGATATTATTAAATCATTTAAATTTAATTTTGAGTCAATTTTGATTTTAGAGCTATGGTAAAAAGGACCAAATCGACTTAAAAAAATTTGGTCTATCCGAATTTGGTATTCAAAACACTTGTTGTCAATTAAAAAAATGCAAGTTTTATTGCGCATGCATACACGGAAAGATCTAAAAATATAAAAATACCTAATCTATCCCCTCCCGAAAACCGCATATTAATCCGATGTCACTGGACAGAATTATTTAGTGTTACCTTTAAAAGGAATCACATTGTATTATTGTGTATTTGTGTTATATTCTTTTACGAAAACCATATTTTTTATTATGTATTCCATTATTGATACTGTTCAAACTTTGTTACTTCCGTACTGCAGTTTTACATTCTCGCAATATAATATTTTTTACCAAAAACTACCGAGCATTACTTCTTACAAACTCCGTCATCGATACTCTAAATAAATATATTTGGTCGTTCCTATCATCTGAGAACGTTTTAACGACTGACGTCATGACTAGCCGATCTTGTCTGACATTTGCATGTGTAACAACTTATTACTCCTTAAAGTAAACTGTACGCATTATTATTTGAGGTGAAAAATATTTTATTGTTCATATTACAGAGTATGCATCTTTTTGAGTTCAAAAAGAAAAACAATTTTTATTAATACACTTAATTCATTACGCATCGTATTGTTACTGTTGGATACGTGCAATTATTTTATTATTTTTAACTTCAGTTTTAAACAACGTGATTAATTATACTTGATAATATTAGAACGAATTATTGTATTCGAATCGGCTCGTATGGTCTTAGTTGTAGCCGTACAAACTTTTGTCTGTATAATTTCTACTTTTCATTTTGATTCGTTTTTTATACCTGTTTGGACTGAAGGTGTTTGATATTTTGACTAGAAATCTTATTCCATATACATCATAACTTTAGTTGTATACCTTGAAATTGGGTCACTAAAAGTGACTATATGGAATGTACTACTACTATAGCATTAAATGTCTTGTTATTGCTTTTAAACGATCTTATTTATTATGCATAATAATTATTGTGTGTTTGTATCCAATAATTTTAGAAACGGCTAATCAGCTGATTGGTAACACATTTTATTAAGAAGAGTGTTTATAGCTTCGTTTTTCAATCCATGCAAACTGCAATAGCGTGGTTCATTCAGTAATTTCGTTTTGTTTTGTGAAAATCTGATATTTTTTTGGTCATGTATAAAATTGTCATTGGTAACAGATATAAAATAAACAATTATGTAATTTATTTATATAAAAATAAAAAAATAATCTATGTTTGTAGCTCGTATACCCAACGAGACCACTTGACCGATTTTGATGAAAATTTCAGAGATTGTTCTCAGAAATATTAGAAAAGTTTATAGAATAATTGAATAGTTTGATACACATTCGAAAATATACGAAATGCTTTGTACAACTCGCCAATGATGGATTGCCTATTTCGATCGTATTAGTTTACAAACCAAGGTATACTGACTTTAATTTGTCCTTTAAACTGATGTACACTAGCATTGTATTTCATATTTACCGGACGAAATTTAATTGTACAGTTAGTTGTACATAAAATGCAAAAAGTAAATTTTCTCTATTATCAATAAAAAAAAAAAATAAAATAATAATAATAATAATAATAATAATAATAATAATTAGATCTCTAAACGTCTGCAATCTCCCAACTACCAGTGTTATCATATTCATATTCAATAATAATATAGGTACTTGTATAACAAATACTTTTTATAAAAAATATTTCTTTTAAAATTGCGTTTTATCTACTACAATGTTAAATCCACAAAAAGATAACAAAATAACATGAACAATCTATATTACGTTAGTTCAAACAAAAAAAATTATTATCAAGACTACTAATATGGCATTAGGTAATTAAAAAAAAATATGTATTATAAAATTAAAAAGTAGGTATTAAGGTCAATAGGTTAACAATCTACAGTTAGTGTCTATATACACACTTCATTTAATAAGTTACTTTCATTTAGTCTACAACAAAAGAATGTGTTTAATTTGAATTCAATACTGTATAGTAAAATATAATAATATGCGTAAAAGTCTCACGTTATCATTTCTAGCAATGCGCGTAGATTTATGTTCGAATTACAAAAAAAAAAAAACAACAAACATAAAATCGCTGTTCTTGGTTTGAATACCCAATATTTAAGGTGGCAGTAAGAATTACTTAATACGAAAAGTTTCGTTTTCAATTGTCAACCTTTAGCTATAAAAATTAAACATTTTATAAATTTTTGATAATTTAACGAATTTCAAACATAAAAATAAAATCGTGATTAAATATTTTTAAATTAGGTGTTATGAAAATTACTTGTTTAGGTTTTTGAATAATTGAATTTTCAAGCTCTTTCAACTAATCTAAAAATATCGTGCATAGGTATTACTTATTTAGTAACTTATTTTAAATTTTAAATCGCAATGTAGAAATAGGCTATTTTCCCAATGATATTACGTTTTGAGTTTCCATTCTCAAATACAAACTATTTTTAATTTATAAATACATTTTTAAAATTTATAATTAAGAACCATTCTAATAAGTATGTATTTTGATGACTGATAATGATGTACCTTTATGTTAATAGGGATGAATAATTTTCAATCAAAGTATTTTACCTTTACCTATACACAGGCCCAAAATAAAGTCCGCTTTGCTGGAAAGGTTACAGCAGTGTCTATATATTATATTATACAGTATTCTACGCGTCCGTATTCGGGTATATTTTTCCTTCACTCGTGCTCAAGCCTAAGGGTCACTTATCGCGATGGTAGTCTGGGTGAGTGTGGGGGTAAGTTGCAGAGACGTATAGGATGCGGACGGCGAGGAGAAGGTGTTGCGCCGGCGGAAAGGGGAAAAATGGACGAGGAAGAGGTAGCGCGGACGTGTTTTCCATGACCTGCAGCAGCGGAGGTCTTCCTTTCCAGCGGTTACTTTCCGAAATGATACGGCTCCTCCCCGTCGCTCGGATAGGACACGCCCCGCACGCCGGAATCACGTACGGAAATCCCTTTGCACCCCGCGTGTGTATCAGCCGCGTCGAGTCGTGCTCCACTATACAACGGTACACATTTTACAATCGTATAGCGTACGTTCGCTCTCTATCCCCGCTGACACACTGCTATGATGCCCACTATTTGATACCGGCTCTCTCGTTTGTTTACATCGTCGCGCCACCTCCGCCACCGACGTCTGCACTGCGGATGATGCTCCGAACAAAAGCAGGTAAGCTCTATGTAAACGTTATGAACACTACATACCTACAGGTATAGGTGTATTTTATGCAAATAGGTGCACGACACAACACGTACATTAGCGTGCCAGTATGGGCGTATGCGTGTCAGTGACCAGTGTGCTCCGGGTTTGAATGTGGAAAACGAGGCAGTGCGTAGGTATATTACTACCATATTATTATAAAATAGGTATAGTATTATACATAGGTATAGAAATAATGGGCACAGCGCGGTCGGGCCATTGCTTGAGTATATTATATTCGTGAAACGTCCGAATAAAACGGGTAACGCAAAAACGAATAGCTACTGCTATTACATTTTATGTTTATTTTATTTTTATGAAGGGGGCCTATTCTGTATTTTATTATACACAATAATAATATCTACGTATCTTGCGAGGTACACTATATGTATTTTGTATATAACACTCATACGTATTATAAAAAACTTCTCTCAGCATTTACTTGTTAATTTTTCTTTGATTTAAAGGACACTGTAAGTCAAACGATTATTATAATAATGATGTATCATACTTATCAAGGGAATAATAGCCTATAGTATAGTACCTATTTGAAGTTTATTTATGGGGGAGGGGGGGGGGGGCAAAAACCATGTAATGCGTGAGTAGGTATTAGGGAAAAATAATATTATTTTTTACCGATAAGATACGATTAAGAACTTCAATTTTTTTTCCAACGTTGCTAAATTTAATAATTATTGTTATTGAAGGATAATTTGTTGATATTTATTGGACTTTTATCGGATTTACCTAATATTATTGGTGACTTAGATACCAAATGAGTGAGAATGACGATTAAGCGTTACAGTTGTCGCACAAATGTTAACGAAGTATTCGTCAGTTTATATATTATATAGTATATTCCTATTTCTCATAAAATGGAAAATAACGAAATCAAAATTATACTTACGGAATGAGGTATCATCATCTCTCATCTAGCAATATTATATGTTACCATTAAAATTTTAATTGAAACTCGATCAGAAATGATATTGAAAATAACTACAGCAGAACAGGGCAATAAAAAGAAATGCCAATAAAACAAGAAAATAAAATACTTTACATTCATGATAAATATATGCACCTAGTACGCGGAAAATAAAAATTCAAGTAATTTATTAAAATATTTATAGCTTGTTGGCTTACACTTTCCCATCATAATTAATATTACAAGTAACTTATTAGCTATTACGTTATGCTTATAATTTTTTCAAGAATATTTTTATTACACGTTTTATTTAAGTATACATTACTGAATCCTTTAATAGACAAATTAATGATATGGCAATGTTGTATGTAAATTCGTTCTCAAACGAATTAGTGTTAAAGGTCAGCGATAAGATCTTTGTTAATTTTAAGTGTTCTCAATCGTTCGAGATAACATTTTTTACGATCTATTATTGATTAATATTTGAAAATGTTTTGAACAAAAGTTCTTTTTGATATTGTAAGTTAGTAAAATTAAACATAAATAATTCGTAATAATAATAACATCTAGGTATATGTTTTAGCTTTAATCATTTAGTAGTTTATGATGGCGAAGAGAGGAAGTGTGTTGTTTGAATGTTTATAAGTATATTTATCATAAATTAATTAATTAAAACCATAAAACATCAAATTAATCTAAATATTAATATGTTATCTTAGTGCTAATCTAACCTAACCTGACTTATACCTATTTCATAATATGTTATAAAGTATACATTTTGTATATCGTACATAAATATTATGTATCTAAGTATAATAGAACTATAATATCCTAATAAATAAATATATAATTTATAGTTTTAAAAAACAAATTAAAATATTATTATTATTTTTATTATACTGGTGAAAGCACATACTGTATAGGTAGTAGGTACCAACGCAGATTAGTATTTATTAAAAATGATTAATCCTGACATCATCTGTTACTAAAATGTGAAAAATATTTGGTCAAAGTTTTCTAGAAATACACATTGAACAAACAGGTAACCAGTAATACAACATCATAATATATAATATAAACGTATAAAACGAAAAATCAAAAATGACGTGTAAAACTTACCAAATATACACCAATTATATTGTCAATAATAAAAGTTGAGATTTACTTACCTATTACACAGGCAATTAATAATTATAAATTATGGTTTGAAGATTAAAATACTTAAAACAATAATGTATTTTTCTAAATTAGTTTGAGTAATATTAGAATACATATTATGTTACTTGTATTCGTACAAAATTAATTAGTTTCGGACGTACATATTTTATGTAACGACTTTAATAAAATCTGTTATACCTATGACGTATGTTACAATTTTTATAAACACCATTCGTCATTAACATATTTATTTATACAAATAAAATTAGCATAGTTTATATGTAGTACATATACATAATAAGCATATAGCAGGGGTGGCCAACATGAATATGTTCGCACTTCGCGAACCATATGGATGAAGGTAATGATACCAAGAGCAGATATCTTTAAAAATACATTTCATATATTCTGATAATTTTATAAATATATACCAAAAAAATTAAAATTTGTAATAATTATAAATAAATTTTGATTTTATAAACAAAACGTAAGTCGTTAGTTGGCTACATCTGACGTATAGTATGTTTGGGCATTTATCAGCATTTTTACAATTTTTATTCATTATTAACAGCATATTAATGAATAGACTTGTGTGGTAATAACGCGATCGAAAGAAACAAATATATAAAATATCACCTACATTTAAAATTCATATTAATATTCATCAACGAACATATATTATATATTACAGAAAAATGGCAAGAATTTGAGATTATGTATTGTAAAGTTTACAATTTTAGAACACAATACAAAGCGCTAATAAGTAATGATAGTTAATGTTTGATATTCAGACGACTGGATTACAAATAAAAAGTATAAGTCCAACAATATTATCAGAATAATAATAAAATATATTTGATTCCTTATATTTAGATGTTGTGCATTTCATTATTAAAATATACATTTCATACTTAATAATATGATAAGAATACTGAATAATAATTATATTGAGCACAATATAAATTTTAAAAATTTTTATTTACAAACTCTTTGAAAACTTAATAAATGTCAATCATTGTGTGAGGGGTAACTCATTTCATCTATGCGGCCTGTAGACTAGTACGGAATTAATAAAGTCACATATGTGTGTGCAAAGGGTAGACGTCTGTATTAAAGGATTACATAGGCCATAGGGAGACCGCACGTGCTTCATATATGCACGTGTGTTCAAACGGTTGAATACATTTTCTATTACAATGGCAATGATCATCAATGTAATAAAATATTTTATCATTATTGTCAGTTTGAACTAAAAGTGTCACATACAATTATACAAATTCTTAACTATGATATACCAAATGCGGCAATGCGTATTTCAGATTTTTGTATAATTTTTACTTTAATCATGTATTATTGTCTATTATGCTATACTATTAATTATTATAGTCTATAGTATATAATATTATCAAAGATTTTTAAAATATAATAAACATATACTCAACTAAAAATTAAAAATATAATTATAATTTGGTGTATATATATTTTAAATATTGTAACCGACAAAATACTTGTTTATTAGTAATCAATAATTATAATTATCAAATATGCGCGGTAGTTAATAGTACAAAAATTATTTGTCTAAAGATAAAAAAAATATTAGAATGATTAATATTTTCGTAATCAAGAAGGTTTCACCAATGAATTTGATTTTAAAATATAAAAATTAATATTTTTAATGCTTATATATAATAATTTAAATTTGAATATATTTAAGTGAATTTATGGTTTAGACATAAGAAGTTAAATTATGAGAATTTCTAAATTATGTATCATAATATATTTTTATTTTTTAATTAAAAAGGCAGCTAATTCTAGTGTATTATTGTTTTTATTTTACTATGTTAACAAATATAACAAATATATTACTAGAAAGTAATTATTGTGTATGAATATTTTTCAATAAATTAAATTAAATTTGCTAACGAATATATTGTATATACTCATTTATAGTTTGTTAAATACAATTTAAGTACCTAGATCTATTTATCTTTACTTAGATATGGCAAATTTGTTTAACACTAAGAAATTTTATTATTATTGTTGTATATTTACATGTTGTACATTTTTCAAAGGAATCGAGATGAAGACAGCTTTAGGCGTAGTCAAATTAAAAATGGAACCAATTTATGGAGACGATCCATCAGAACCGGCGACAGTGTCTACCGTATGTGCTAAATGTGAGTGCACAATTGCAGATAGGTATATTATGCGTGTATCCGGTCGATCTTACCATGAACGGTGTCTTAAGTGTACAACATGTGCGCTGAAGCTAGATCGGTCGTGTTTTGTTTGGAACTCAAAACTTTACTGCCGTCAGGATTATGACAAGTAAGTAGAACATAAAAAAGCATATATCTATTACCTAGGTAATTTATAACATCTTATATACTTACTTTTTTTTTTTTTATAAAAATACAAAATTGTACTTCTTAAAGAAAAAACTACAAGAAACTAATTTACTACATCAAAATGGTATATTCTAAGAAAAAAATAGGTAAATAAATATGAATTTGAAAAATGAGGAAACATGTATTTAAACATAATAAGAATTTATTATAAAAAATATAGTAAAATTAATAACAATTTAGGAATAAAAAAATATAATGATAAAATTTCTGAAATTAAAGCTTTGTTGATGACGAAAAAAAACAGAACTTCGTAGCACACACGATGGTTGATTTGGTTGATCTCGCAAATCTACATAAATAATTTTTAATAAAGTGTCATTAATTCAAACGGGATTATTAAACACCTAAATAGATCAAGAAATGGTACATAACTTTTTTGATAAAGAAAAATGTATTGTTTATTTACTGTTTATGTTAAATTTTTTAATGTATTTAAAATTGTTTTTAATGACATTTAAGCTGAAAGCATAATTTTTTATAATTTTTAGAAAAAAGAAAATATTGTTGGACTGGAAAAAAATATATATAATGTATTTAGAGAATTTACTTTTAAACTAAATGTAAAAAAATGAATATTACACAGCAATAAGTATAAAAAAACGAATTAAATAACATTTACTTTAGTACTGTATTACATTTTACTACTACTTGACACTTGTTAATAAGTGACTTTAGATAATTATATTTAATATTAAAAAAATACGATAAATAATTATATCCGAATCTCTATAACTTAGTGATTAGAGTGGTCATACATATATTTCGTTTAAAGTTTAATCGAGAAGTATTAAACCTAATCACTTAAATGCCGAACAGTCTAGGAAACTTGCTGCATACAATGTCAAAAGTTCGTTTCAAACTATGTGGTGTTGTTCATTCGTGACTATATCTGGTTTACTATATTATATTATAATTATGGTGTAAATAATAATAATAATAATAATAATATAAATATTATAATATTATGCTTATTGCACTACATGCGCCTGATCGTAGGGCAAATATTTGTGACAGTTTGACGCAAATCGATGTATGGCCCACGAATTTGACTTCGGCCCGCGTGTGCTATTACCCGTTGCAAAAACTGTACAATTGCATTTTGTCCAAATTTTTGTTTCGTCTTGTAATTCTTTTTATGTTAAAAATACGTATGTATATATTATTTACATCATATTAAAACATTCTGTTTTGTCATCACAAAACTGGGTTAGTGCCCATCACGACGCGCACTTGAATATAACTGTATTTAACGTATCCGACTCAATCATGATTATATGGTTTATTATACAACCGAAATAATAATACCCATGATTTTTCACTGCATTTTAGTCTGTTAAATTTACCTTATATTACTTTGAACTTTTTAAAAATTCAAACACACACACACACACATAAAAGAAAATGACAACATTAACGCATGCCAAAATCAATAACGTGTGTTTAATAAAATTGCTAAAAAATAAAATTGCGTGGTTCGTGTGACTGATTGCCTATTTTTAATAGACTTAATGATAATAGATGGCAAAAAAAAAAAAATTATTTTTACAATCACATAATGATCTTTATAGAGATGATTCTATGAAGGTGTTCACTCTTAAAACTGTTTTTGGTTCACGTTACTTGTTTTGTAAATATAATTAGTAAGTGTTTATTACCATTTAAGAAAACAATGTGAATGATTTAGTGGATTAAAAAATGTGAACTCAATCAACACATCGAAACCGTCGAGTAATATTTTACCTTGTTCAATGTTTCAAAAAAACAAAGTGATAACATTTCAAAATTTTACTTTCATGTGATAATAACAAAAAGAAGAAAAATAAAGAGCAGAAACGTAGATATTAAATATTATATATAATATAATTACAAATAAAGGTTAACCAGAAAATAAATTATTTTCGCTTTAATGCTTTATTTCTCTGAGTATTATCGTATTGGAAAACCAACTATCTATTATCGTAGAATTAAAACGATAATAGACATTAATTGTTTCTTGAAGATGTTGGAGGGTAGATAAAAATGCAAAGCACATAAGTAGTTTATTGGTAGTTTATCGTATGTTAACTAATAATATATGTAAGTATAGTATACATTTATGACCAGAGCTCGTAAGTTCATGTATTAAAAGATATATAAATAAGCATGAAATAATGCAATAAAATGTAGAAAATATATTATGCATTAAAGGATGCATTAAAAAGTTCAGTAATATGCATTTATATGCACTAAAAATGTAAAAATATGTGTTTAAAATTTCAAAATATATTTAAAAAAAATTAAAACAAACTTATACATTATCGATGAAAACCAGTTAGGTTAATATACATTCATATTTTTAAAAGTTATGGGTACCTAAAGTAATTTTTTCAATTTTATACATTTTGATAAAATTAAAAAATAAATTAATAGTTACTTTATGAAGCTCTTATGGAGCTTAATCTTATTATTCTATTTTGTTTCTTTTACTTTAAGAAGTTATAAATTACATTGTATTATTAGCGATTTTAATACCTTTCACAAAAAATATGAATTTACATTAAATAATATGTGCTAATAATTCAAAAAAATCAACAATACGCCAAATATGCCCCAACACCCAGAATATGCAAATACATGCACTATTAAACTACTTTATATTTTTATTACTATTGTTGTGAAACGGATTTGTAACCCACTTAGCATGTTTTTCAATGTATCAGAAAAAACATGCGAATACATGAACTTATGAGCCCTGTTTAAAATATATAGTTATATAGGTCCCTATCTAAATATTTAATTACAATTTGACAATCTAATATTCTATATCTTACAATTATAAAAGTATATTCTTATCTTTTTTGGTAAATAGTTAAATTTTTATATTTTTAGTCATTAGATAATAAAGTATGTATGTCTAAACAAAATTTACATCTGCACAACATTCACTATATGTCTATATATCTATGTAATGGTGTAGCACAATCAATTAATATAGCGGTTAAAGTTGTTTAAAATAAGTAGATACTCTAATATCAAAACTGTCACTTGTACGTTTTAAAACTATGTAGTAACGATAACTAAAATATTATCTATATAAGTAGAGGTATCTATATTCATGTCTAATTTCATGAAAAAATTGATTTTTAATACGCTATATTCATACAACATTAAATAATACATTTTCATGAAAGAAAAGTTTGAAATAATAACAAACGTAATTAAAAGGTATACCATCTAGACCTTTCAGTCATTCTTTCTTTGCCAATTACATCGCATTATATGGTACATTTCAAACCTTCTCATTTCACAAATACGTAAAAATTGTAAAAGTTTATACTTTATAGCTCAGCTAAAAACTATAAAAAAAATTTCACACTTAATCATAAATCCACTGACCTTTAGCATCTAACTTAGCTAGCGAATCCATCTCAAATAACCCCCTACGTAGATTAAAAAAACTGGTGTCGAGATCTCTTGAATTCCGACCAGTATTAATTAAATAAATTAAACTTCTCTCCACCTCAAGTCAGTGAATTCCCATACTGTGTTGAGCCTCTTCGTCGCGTTATTTATTATTTTTATTTTAGTAATTAGTTAAGCTACACAATTTCCTTATTGTTATATAATAATATTGTAGACTGTAAATACAAATTTGTTGAAATAATCATAAAAAAACAAAAAAAAAAACAAAAAGGCATACATTATGCAAGATATTTTGCTTACATAATTTATTTTATAATAATATGGAGGATGGTGTTCCTAAAATAACCTACAAGGTTATATCGAGGATGAAATATGCGAATGAAAAAAAAAAGCGGAGTTATACGAACTAACCCCGTCTAACGATTACAAAGTTTACGAATCACGGGCATCATACGCTGCAGTAAGAATATAACAAATAAAATTAAAATAAAATCGAAATTGGTGGAAATAGAGAGATTTGGGGTGGTGACTCGACGAACATATATATAGACGCGACCGTCTGCACTGAATCACTCGGCTATAATACGCATAATAATATTACCAGGCAATTATTATATTATCATATCGATTTCGTGGCGGAATATTTTATTAATGTTTAGAAGTATATTTAACACACGAATTATAAAGAAGAAAAGAAATCCAATAAAAATGGATTCTCCTGGTTGCAATATTATATTATCATTATACAGAGCGATTCACCAAGTATGCTCCCTGCCTTTAATTAAAAAATGCAGTAATTCAAAATTTGATTTTTTTGAATTTTTAAATATACCTTAAGTCCGTATTTACGAATTCTTGAGATTTTTTTGTACCAAAGGAGAATATGTGGAGATACAAACCCTATTTTTTTTAAATCGAAAACCCTCTCTTTTTTCTACTGTAAATAATTAAGCAGATATTTTTTTCTGAAAACGTAGATATATTAAATTAAAATCCAAACGAGTAGATTTTGAATTACTGTACTCTATTAACTTTATGTACTCAAGATAATATATCCATGATAATGAGCTTGTAAGATATAATGGAGGCTATAGTGAGTTGAAAATGTTTGTAATTAATATTAATTTATCAACGTTTATAATTTTTAAAAACGGCTCAAGTATGCTCGTATAATAAACACTACATCTCATACTTTACATTTATTTTATATTTTTGTAAAACCATTTTTAAAGACTATTAATTATCATTAGTGTAACCCTTTTATTAACTGAAAAACTTCTGGTTCGAATTTTGAATCGATTACGTAAAAATAAAAAAATTATCCACCAACAATAGTTTACAGTGACAAAAGGAGGATTCTCGTTTGGAAATTGGAAGCTGCTTACCTACATCGTCACGGAACGCAAAAAGTTAACTTAGTAAAAAAACGTCTCGAGAATTTAAGAACACGTGCGCGGTCTTTAAGCGGAAGCGGATTTCAAAATTTCGGATTTCAAAATTCGAACGTCAATAGTTCGT